TCCCTCTTCACGAGTGCACCTTGTATAGGCTTCCAGCTCTGGAACCAAACCCCCTTCCCCCAGACAAGCTGTGCATGACCTCAGCCTTAAACCAGAAGGAATGAAGACATTTTGTTGAGGTCTCCTTCCCAGGAAGCCAGCTGGGGTGCGTCCTGCAAAGGCTGACATTTACGTGCTGTCTTTAATCACATTGCTGACGTGTTCCAAACACAGTCTGCAGACACCTTGTTAACGAGGGCCCAGCTGTCTCTCCCGAGGGCACCTGTGCCTGCAGGGAGAGCTGCCCCCAGACAGGCTAATCAGAGCCCCAGCCCACACCCTTACACCCCACCTTTCCCCACCACCCCGCAGCCCTACAGTCCAGCCGCAAAGCCAGGCTGGAGGGAGGGCGGGAAATGTGTGGCAGGGTGGGCATGGGACTTTCAGTTTGCAAAGTTTGTTTTGCTTCTTGTAGCTTGACTGGACGACTCAATAGCTGGCGGTCTCCCTTTGCAGGTGGGGGTGCTGACGTTTGTGTCGGTGCGGCCTGTGGTTCTTTCTGATCACCAGCTCGGTGGGGCCCTACTATGTGCTGTAGCATGGGCATGAGGAAGGGGGCTACTAGCAAAATGTGCTCCCTGTGGAGCCCATATTCACTGCAGGAACTGATCCCCACATTCTCAGGGAAGAATCCCTGGGGAGTAAGCCGCAATCCTCTTGCCTCTGAAAGGGGGTAACAATATTCACACTGGGGGGGTGTCATTGTAAGGGTGAAGGGGGTTGATGTCTGGATGACTGGCACATTCCTGGGGCTCAGGGTCTCCCAGCCTGCCTTTGTCTCCCTCGCAAATGCCAAACCTCCCCTTGGCCACTCTCCCAAGGCCTATGAAACATCACACAGTCCCCTTCTTTCCAGTAGGACAGCATTTTGACATTCTTTCCATCTTGCTTTTCTTCCTCCCATTCAACAACTATTTACTGGGTCTATATGATATGTCTCTGTCTCCAAGCCCTATAATCTTTGAAAGAAGAAAGAGTCATCAATTAATTAATCAGTCAGTGAATTACCCAGCACACCTATGCTTTCCTCCATTAATTTCATGCACATGAAGTTTCTGGGCTTTTTGGTATCCATTTTTTGCCTCCTGCGTTCCCTCTTGACCCTGGCTGTGTTCTGTGTGGATAAGGGGTAAGTGAGATGTGCTGGGGCCTCGGCTGTGGCTTCCTCCGTGGTCCGTTGCCCCATAATAGTTCTTTCCTTTTCCTGTGGGCAGCAAACTCTGCTTGTCAGTAGGTTTAGCACATGCTCAGAGAGGGACAGTAATTTGCCTGAGGTCACACAGTAAGTCAGATTCTGAGGCCAGTCTAGAACTGGGGACTCCTGACTTCCTATCCAGGGCACTTCCCGCTCTGCCAGGTCCCTCAGAGTGGGTGTCCCTCCCTGGGTGGCCTTGCTGGATATCTGGAACAAACAACCTCTTTCCTCCTGCATCTGGCCCACAGGATTGTCTATGAGAATGCCTCCTGGCTACGTGCAAAAATAAACGTGAGCTGTGCAGGGAGGGTGACTGTGTGAGTGTTGGGGGCGGTAAAACAGGGCACCTGGTGCCCGTTGTCAGCAGGAGGCCAGAAAGCAAGGGGGCTCTGCATCTGGGAAATGAATTCTGCACCCCTGCCCTTTCCTGTCTGCCAGAGAGCTCCCTCGCCATCACCCCCGACCACAGTCCTGCCCCACGGCCAGCACTTCATCCCCAGGGCTCGCCATCTCCCGGTGGCTGTGCTAACTAACCACCCATGGGTGACAGAATTCAAGTCCACAGCAGGTCAACATGCTGAACCACACCTAGCCCTGGACACTTGGCGCGGCCCCTGCCTGGCTGCTTGGTTTCCCCAGGGAAGCAGTCTCGGGGCCCAGGCCAGGCTTTGGACTAGAATATGCATTTAACCAAGAGTTATGCATTTGCCCAAGACACCAGGCAGTTTCATGCACGTTATCATTCGAGGAGCTGCATGTTATTCCAATAAACCCCACCATAGATAATTACAGTGAATACTCATGGAGAGATTACTGTGGGGGCTACGTACTTTGCACCTAGAACCCCACATTTAACCACATTTAACCCCGACTTTCCAGGCGGTATCATCCCCTCCACATTATAGACAAGGAGCCGTAACTAGCCCGCGAGCATACAGCCTGGCAGAGGTAGCGGGGGGATTCGAACTCAACCTCCTGTCTTTCTAGCTCCGGAGTCCCCGGATTTCCTCCCTGGCTGCATTTCTCATCTTATACGGGCTTCGTGGTAAGTCTGTTTCCCCTCTCTTTCGCCCCCTGCGGCCAGTGGACTCCTGGGGCCAAGGTTAGGCTGTTGGTCACATCTCCACGTCCATGATCCCAGTCTTCTCTTCTGGGAGCACCTACAATGGGATCACCAGGGATGTTTGAGAGATGTAGAGTCTAGGTACCTCCATGTCTTCTAGAATCAGAACCTCAGGGGCAAAGTTTGGGCAAGTGCCCAGGGGGCTGGGTGTCCACTAACCTTGGAGACCCTGAACCTTGGATTGCTAAGGATGGACCAAGAGGCCCGTTGCAGCCCCAGGCAATAAGATCTAGAGTTTTCCTGTCCCTGTCTCAGGGCTTTCTCGTATTCTAATCCTCAGCCTGCAGGGGAGCCTTCTGGGCACTTCTGGGCTCACAGTCCTGCTCCTCTTTCCACCAGGAGCTAAACTTGGGCAGGGAGCAGGCCGGCCAGTCTGGCCCATGGAGTGTGTTCAGCTTGTTGGCTGGCAGTGCCCTTTACACATCTAGATGGTTGGAAAATTACAAAAGGAAAATATTTTGTGACATCTGAAAATAGTGTCAAATTCAGCCAGGCTCTTTCTGTATTGCCCATGACTGTTTGCATGCTCAGACACAGAGCAAGTAGCTGTAACAGTGTCTGTCCAACCCACAGAGAAAATAGCTTCTGGATGGCTCTTTACAGACAACTTGGGCATCCCCTGGTTTAAATTTAGCATCTTCAAATTTACTTGGCGAGCTGGTTAAAACAGGTTGCAATCCCTCCTCCCAGATTTTCTGATCCAGCCCGGCTGGGTGTGGCCTGGGGGTTTGTATTTCTAGCAAACTCCCAGGTGGTGCTGTAACCACACTGTTGAGAACTCCAGTTTAGAACAACTTGGGCCTTCAAAGCCCTCTGCCCCACGCTGGAAGCTCTACCCCCCCAGACCTCCTCCAGGGAGGGGGCTTGAGATGGACTTCAGGGAGAAGCACCTAACCCAGGCCCCCTCTCACCTCCAGGTCCACCAGCCCCTCCTCCAGGCTGTCCTCCGTATCTGCTCCCCCTGGTGGCGGCAGCTGCCCCTGCAGCCTGTCCCTCCACTGAGAAACATGATCCTCAGCCTTCAGAGTCTGCATCTCCTTTCCTCTTCAGAAGTCTACTTCTAAGACTCTAATCTAAGAATCAAGAATGCCAGGCACAGTTTGTTTGTTGGAGGACAGAACAGGACACCAGCCGGTCATCTGACCATTGGCCAGGCAGCTGGAAAGACGCCCAGGCTGGATTTGAACTTGAGTCTGTCTGAGTCCAGAGGCCATGCCTTGGCCGCCACACACACAGCCCGCTGGGGTGACTCTGCCTGCCGTGCCGGGCAGGCAGGAGAGCTGCCCCGGAGCTGAGGTGACCTGCTTGAATCCCTCTCCCCCTTACCAGTGTGATGTCGGCCACGTAGGTCCTGCTCTGTCTCTCGGCGCTCCCATCTTGAGGGGGGAGCCTGATTTAGAGGATCGTGCACGGCGGAGGCTGTTATTACTCTTTCTTACTCACCCCCATCTTCCATCTTTGCTGCCCTTCACCTCCGTGCTTCCTCTCACCGGCTCAAAGTATGAGGTCATGGGGTGGGGGGGGTGCCGGTTGGGGGGCATGCTGCTCTGGCCCGCCTTACCCACCGGGCTGCACCCCTAGACTCTGGGCAGCAGGGAAGAGAGCTAACAGAGGGGTCCGTGGGTGAAGAGGCCTGGATCTGACCCCCAGATCTCCTGGATGATGTGGGAAAAGAACATTCTACTGGGATCAGTAAGATCTCAGTGGTGGATGAAGTGGGGCCCCCTAAGCGGCAGCACCATGTGGGACAGAGCCCACGCAAATTCTAACAAGCCCTCCTGGGACTCTTGACTTCAGAAGCTTGAGACCCACCAGATTAGCTGTCTACTCCTGAGGTTGCTGTAACCAACACAGGACAGAGATGTTCTTTGCCCAGGAGAGGGGGAGAGAGACTGGAAGCCAACCCACAGAGCCTTGAGTGCCAGGCTCACTGGCTGGGGCCATATCCAGTTGATAGTAGGGAGCCCCTGAAGGTTTTTGAGCAGGGGGGGTGATCTTTGTTCTACCTGGATGACTGGACTTGTGCCAGGCAGGAAAGCTATCAGGGAGGGCAAGTGGGGAGCGTTCAGCAGGACAGCTCCTGATGCCAAGGCCAGTTAAGACTTTGAAGGGCCCCTTGACCCCTTGGGTGGGGGAAGGGCTTTTCAAGCAGAAACTGCTTTTAAGGCTGGCCTAGTTCTGTTGCCTTGAGGGAAACCTCAGATCACTAGGAGATAGACTCGCCCTTGAATTCCAGCTCTGCTGTGGGACCTAGGACAACCCCTTTATCCCTCCAACCCCCAGTTTTCTCCTCTGTAAAATGGGCCTGACCTCCAAAGATCGAGTGTGAAGTTAGTAAGAGGATGAGGGACAGATGAGAGGATGAAGCTAGTGAGAGAAAGAGAATGAAGGTGAGTGTGCAGTTAGGAGTGAAGGCCACAGTGAGTGTTAGCACCCCCTTTCCAGTCTGCTGTGGGGCTGGCACAGAGCTGGGGACCCAGACAGTGGTGTCCTCTAGTCACCCCCAACTAGATGGGGTTTTTGCTTTCAGAAGTTATTCGTTCATTGTCCAGTCATTCAACCAGCCCTTAAGCTGCCTTTCTGACTACCTACTATGTGCTGGGTGTTAGGACACAGAGTTCAAAGTTAGACCAGTCTTTTGACCTTGAAGAGTTGATTTATTCAGCAACATCCATGGGGCGCTACTGTGTGCTTCGGTGGGGTGGTGTTGTTGGGAGTGAGGTTGAATGTTGCTGGTGGGGAGGGAAGGACCGGGCTGAATTAAGCCTCTACATCTGGGAAGAGCAGGAACCCGGAGAAGATGCTGTTGGCCCCCTCCATCCCGATCAGGGAGTTCTTGTCGGTGGCCTGCAGGTAGACCTGCTCCCCCTGGCCCAGCTTGAGGACCACGCTGCCAGTGGTGACTTGGAAGGTGTTGGAGACGTAGTCACAGAAGGTGACCACCTTCTGCTTGGCATCCTGCTCCCGCATGAGGTTCACACACAGGTTCCCTTTCGAGCTGGCATGGTAAGTGAAGTAGTAGAGGCCGGGCACCTTGCAGGTGAACTTGCCACTGCGAGGCTCGTAGTTGTTGTTCACGTTGGTGATTATGCGGTCGAAGCGGATGGTCTGCTCTCGCCGGAGGGCCATGTGGAGGGTCCGAGTGGCCGAGAAGGCGACTTTCTCTGTGGCCTTGTAGTCGCCCGATTCACCCTGGGGGCCAGGGGGACCAGGGAGCCCTGGTAAACCTGAGGGGCCAATCGGGCCCTTGGGGCCAACTTTTCCTGGATTCCCAGGAATCCCTGGGTCCCCCTTCTCTCCAAACTCGCCATGGTCTCCAGCTAGCCCTGGCAGCCCTGGAAAAACAGAGATAATAGAAATGAGGCCAGAGGTCACTGGGAACCAAGAGGCGCAGGCCTGGGCCTGGACAGCGAGGCAGGAGTCTGGCTGTGTGATCTCAGGCAGATGCCTGTGCCACTCTGGTCCTCAGCATCCCATAAGTGAAAAAGAAGATGGGGGAGTCAGATGAGGGCTGGTTTCCTTCCAGCTGTCTGTGTGTGATGTGCCTGACAGCAATGGGACTGGCGAAGGAGAGCAGAAGAAGGCACTGGGCAGCCTCCTCACCGGCTCACGCCGTCACCCTTCTTGGGCTCAAGCTTGGAGCAGGGATGAGCAACTTCCTGGGGACACCCTACCCCTCCCCGCCACCCACTCCATGGCAGACAGCCTTACTCAATCTCAGCATTGTTTTGTTAAACCTGGAAGTGGGCCTTAGGGTCCTGCGGGCCCACACCCAGGCAGCCACAGCCTGATCTGGCACAGAGAGGCACCATGGCTGAGAACAGGGCTCAGGGGACAGGCGAGTGTGCGTCTCATGTCACATCTACCATTACTAGCTGTGCCACCTTAACTGAGTCACATTCCTCCAGGTGCAGCTTCCTCCTCTAAAATAAGGATGGTGGCATTTTGCGAGGGTTCAGCGAGATGAGTGCTGGACACCAACCGCGGCCTCGCTGGGTGAGTGAACTCACTCCCGGGATATGGAGGCTCCTTTGAACCCAGCCATGACTTTGCCAATGTGTTATCGCCCACCTCTGACAGGTGAGGAAGTCACAGAGAGGTGACGTCACTGACTCTGGCGGGAGCCCCAGACTGTGACTGCGGGGTGCCCTCTCTATCTGGGCTCAGAAAGACAGCTGTCTCAACATTTCCTGGGCTACTTTGGGCAAATCAGCGGCCTTCTGGACACCCCTGTTCCCTCCTATAAAGTGCAGTGGGCATCCCGCCTTGAGAGCTGTTATGAGACTGTGCATGGTGCTGCACCTCTCGGCTGGACAGCTGTGAGGTGGGGAGCTGGGGTGGGGCCTTGGCCAGTGACACTACAGCTTCCCCAAACCTACAGTACCTCTCTCTCCCTTTATCCCTGGGGTCCCAGGTTTGCCGTCAGAGCCAGGCAGCCCGGGGATGCCTGGGGTGCCAGGGATGGCCTGGAACCCAGTGCAGCTGCTCTGGGCCCAGGAGAAGTCCAGCAGCTCCAGGAGCAGCAGCGGCAGCAGCACCGGGACTGCCACCCTTGGGGTCTTCATCGCCACACCGTCGCGGCCACTTCTGCAGGAGGACAAGATGCGGTAGGTCATTTCCACTGTCGATTTGTTCATTCACTCATTCTCTCATTCGTCTGTTCACTGAGTGGCCCATCCCCCAGACCCTGTGTGCGTGCTGGGGATTCCGTGGTGGACAAGATGGTGGACTCCCGCCTTCATGGAGCCGACAGTTTGGGAGAGGACAGTGGTCCACGTCAGCAGGCAAGTAAATGAGGGATTTCGGGAGGGCGATCGTGGGGAGCTGGGGGTGGGAAGGGGGCTGGTTTGTGAATGAGCCTCTCACCCGGAGGGTCTAGGCCAAGAACTGGAGGCTCAGAAAGGACTGGGGGAGGAATGCTCTAGAGGAAAGGGCAGTGGACGCAAGGGCCTGAGGCAGGACAGAGCCTGGAATGTGGGCCGCAGGGAGGCCCCAGTGGCCACAGGGAATGAGGGGCCAAGGGAAGGAGCTGAGGTTGGGCTGGTGTGTGGGTTTGGGGTTTTATTCATTACAGCATCAGGATGTGGGAGCCTGGGCTGCTTTCACTGAAGACCACGCACATCCTAGGGCAGCCCTACGTGGAAAGGCCGCCATTTGTATGCCAAAGAGGACCCAGGAGCGCAGGGAGGGGAAACCATCAGCTCGGGACACGCAGCAAGGGCGGTGGCCGGAACTCACACTCGGCCCGCTGGCACTGATGCCAGAGTTCCAGAATATTCTCAGGCTCCTCCCAAAACTGTGGGTCCTGATGAGATGGCCCCCTCTTAATCCTTAGGAGGATGAGCAAGAGGCCGTGAGCTGGAGGAGCATGGCCGGGCCTCCATGGCAATAGTTCTCAGGGCAAGGGACCTAAAAGACCATCCAGCCTGGTCTTTCATTCTAAATCAAAATGACATTCTCATAATATTAAACTAACTTATTTCAGGGGGAACTTTTTATTTTATTTTAAAATGATCACACGGTAAAACTGACCATGTTTTTTATTGGAGGTGGGGAACGTGTCACAGCTCTGTAAATGTTAACACATCTCTAGGTTTACTTAATCACCACTCCAATTGGGATACAGAACAGTTTCTTTGCCCCCAAACACTCCCAGGCCAACCCTGTTGAGTAACACCTCACTGGCTCCCCTAAACTGGCACAACCATTTGTCGCAATTACTATAGTTTCTTTTCCCCCCAGAAAGTCATATAAATTCACTCAGTACAGCTGTAACCTTTTGAAATTGGCTTCTTTCACTCAACAAATTGCCATTGAGATTCTTTGAGGTCGTGTGTATCGATTATTTTTTATTGCTAAATTGTTGGTTGAAATTTTATGGCATTTGGGTGTTATTTTTCATCTGCTAGGTTGGCACTGAAGTTTGAACTGGTTTCCTTTATGTTAGACTATGAACTTCTCTCCCTCCTCCCCCCCCATCAGTGAAATGATAAATTTTTGAACTGGGGTTTGTTGCTTTTAAACTGTGAAGTTTTCAATTCATCAACTTGCAAGTTTCGCTGAGCAAAGTCACCCACAGGGTTTCCATGGCCCCGGGAGCTGTCATGACTTGATTAGGCCCCCAGATTTTAGGGGCAAATTTGAGATAGAAGAAAAATTGCAGTTTTGTGAGCAGATTGGTTACACGTCCTTCACCATCAAGTCATACAAACTACTCTCCTACCCGTTTATCTGCTGGTGAGGCCAGTGAGGGAGAATGAGCTACATACAACATTTTAAAAGGGAGCCCTTTCAAGGGAACATTGTGGTGCACTTAGCACATTTCCTCTAACAAATTCCAAAGCACTTGAATCACTCCCAGATAAAACTGTTCTCATTCAGCAGTCTCTTCCCAGCTCCTCCCCTCTTCCGCCCCAACAACTGCTATTCTGCTTTCTGAATCTGGGTTTACCTATTCTGGACATTTCATCTACATGGACCCCTACCCCCCAGGGACCTTGTGTGCCGGCTTCTTCCTTAGCATAAGGTTTCACCCAGCCCAAGTTTCATCTATACTGTAGAATGTGCCAGCACCTCCTTCCTTTTCAGGGCCCCGTAATATTCCACAGTATGACTGTTACAATTTGTTTATCCATTCATCATGATGAGCATCTGGGACATTCCACCTATGGCTACTGTGACTAGTGCTGTTAAAAACAGTCAAACACGGCCCTCCCTGGTGGCGCAGCGGGTTAAAGCACAGCACTGGCAAGCTTAAGCCACTTCCGCATGAGTTTGATCCCCGCCTGCCCCGGAGGGGATCCACATGGCGGCAGACCTCTCTGCCCGCCCGCTGCTCCCCTCAGCAGTGTACTTCATGATCTGCCTGTTCTGCTCCCCACTTTGTCTCTGGTGAATCCTCTCATCCTCCGCATCTCTGGCCTGTACCCCAGTTCTGCATGAATAAATAAGTAAATCTTTAAAAAAAAACAAACACAAGGGTTTTTCTGGGTACCTCTTTTGAATTCCTTAGGGTGTATACTTAGCAGCAGAATATTAGGTCTTATTGTAAGTCTGTGTTTAACTTTTTGAGGAACCCTCACCCTGCTGTGAAGTTTCCCCTGTAACATCTCCACCCAGGGCTCTTTCATTTGTAGCTTGTACCATCTCAGTGATGGGCAGCTTAAGACTTACCAAGACAGCCCATTCCACATTTGCCTAGTCAAATTCTCCCCATCCTTCAAGGTCTGGGTGAAAGGCTTTCTCCTCAAGGAAGCCTTCCCTCATTACCTCTCAGCTCACAGAGGCTGAGCTATTTCATGCTCTTAAAATGGGAGGGTGGCTGAGGACCCAGGCGAGGTCATGCTGGGAAAGAATCATGGAACTTGAGGCCAGCTGTTGTCTGGTCCTCACAGTGCTCTAGGGAAGTGGGTTGAGAATCTTCCCCAACTTGCAGATGAGGAAACTGAGGCTCATGCAATCTGCCCATAGTCTATCAAGGGTAGGACTGTGGCCAGACGCGACCCTTCGGCAGCATCCTGGCAGCACCAGCCCAGAATCTGGAGGTGGAGGCCTACCCAAGACCAGAAAAATCCATTGGATTTGGCTCATGTGCTCAGAAAATGGGCCTCAGCCCTTCAGTGTGATCCTCATCACTTCATCACCCAAACTCCTGGGCTAGGCCAGACCCTGTCCTGAAAACCAAGAAAAGCGAAGGTAGGAGGCACCAGGGCCTGTGAAGCCCCAAAGAGAGGGAGGCTCTTGCGGGAAGTTTTGCAGAGTGACAAGTCGACAGCTTTGATAGCCCGCTGGCCCCTGACCCGGCACAAGGCTCTGTGCTTTTCCATGCCGCTAGCACGTAAACTTGGTTCTCCCCAGAGCCATGGTGCGCTTTCATTTCACACTGGAACTGGGCATGAGTGAGGTGTGGGCCTCAATGGGGGTCACGCAGCCACCTGTGAGAGTCACGCTCCGGGCCCTCTCTGGTGGCACAACGTGCTAAGGCGCAGCACTGCGAGGCAGCAGCCACTGCAGCACGAGCTTGCTCCCCGGCCAGGGAGCTGACCCATGATGTAGCTGACCCATGGTGTAGCAGACCTCTCTGGTCTCCCCGGATGCCCCCCTCAGCAGTGTATTTCAGTAGATCTGCCTGTTTCGCACCCCACTCTGCCTCTGGTGAATTCTCCGCTTCACCCCCACCCCCCGCCCCCTCCACCTCTGGCCTGTACCTTCGTTCTTGTGTGCATAAATAAATAAATATTAAAAAAAACTTACACTCACAGGATTGATTCTAAAACATACAAGGCGCTCCATTAGGAGCTCCCTGTGCCTGGTGGCTTTGGCGCCAGGCAGCTGAGAGGGCCGGCACCTGCTGCCGGGTGGAGGCCTTTGTTGTTATTACGCAGCTGTTGTTAGGTAGGACACCGCCAGTAGAGGGAGCCCGCGGGCTCCAAATCCGGCCGCTGCTGCTTTGTCCTAAGGGCCTGGCCAGTCCCTGCTCTCCTGCCACAGTACCCGCTTTTACAAAATGGGCACAGCGCTAACCTTGGCCCCAGGGCTGGTGGGAGGACAGTTAGGACTCACAACAGAGCCTGGCATGGTGCAAATATCAGCCATTTTTCATTATCACCATCATCTAAGAATCCCAAGTTGAGGGATGTGATGGGAAATGGTTGGGAGCAACTGCTCCTTTAGGAAATTAGGCCGTGGGGGCGGGGGTGCTCTGTGAGGTGGAGGCTGCCCGGGTGTGGGGAGCTCCCACCAGCTGCCAGCGTGGGGTGAGGGTGGTGGAGGCAGGACTTTGGCAGAAGCAGAGGTTGACCCTCTGGTCCATTTTAGGGCCACTGAGTCTCAAACTTGGGTGCAAACTGGACCATCTGGCCCACCTACCCTCTGCCCACGCTCTACCGCACCAAACTTGCTCCCCATACTTTTCCCGCATCTCCCACTCTTCTACCTCCTTCCTCCCCAGCGGTCCTTTACCTGCACCCTAGGCTCCCTGCTGCCCCAGAGGGGCCTGAATCGCTCCGAGCCTCCTTGGCACGGTGACTGTGCTGGGAGAGCTGCCAGGGAACTGGGCGAGAAGGACCCTCACAGGGGCAAGTGGGCTGGGCCCCCTCTCCTTTACACCACCATGGCATTCACTCAGTGTCCACCTGTGAGTCATTTCCTGAAAAGGGTCAAGCTGCGTTTTTCATAGGTGGTAAGGAAGCCAGCAGAGGCAGGTGTTGGGGCAAGGCCGGGCTGGGCATGGGGTGGGGCCAAGAACCTGGGTTCTAATGCCGCCTCTGCAGCTCACCAAGCTCCGGGGTGGCTCTCTGCCGGGACTTGCAGCCCGAGGGGTGCCGTGACTTGCCCAAGATCACCAGCACCCGGGAGAACGAGCGGGCTCAGCTTGGGGACTCAAGGACCCCGAGCCCTTGTGCATGGCTCCTGTTTCAGACGACCTCCCTGGCACCTGGGAGCAGCAGTCCCCCCAAACAGGAGCCCCAGCCTCACCTGAGAACCTGGTGTCCGCTGACGCTGCAGGGCCGGGCAGCAGTGGGGCCAGGAACTGGGCGCCCGCTCTGTCTGTCTGAAGCGGAAGCTCCATTCCCCAGACTCGGGCAGGGCCTTCCCCTGCGCATGGCCCTGCCCTTGGGGTCTGGCGGGTCTTCCCCTTCCTGACAGCCCACTCCCCACTTTCCTGCTGCCCCGGGCAGTTTCAGGTCCCATTTCTCTGCAAACTGGAGGGTTGACTGTAAATGAGGCAAGGGGTGGTGAGTTGGGTTTCGCTGGCTCAGCAGCTGTGGGTTGCACAACTGTCCTGGGAGGATGTCCACAGCCCGGTCCTGGGAGGATGTCCACAGCCAGTGGCTGGCCTGTCAAGGCCCCGACCTCATGATTTCCAGGAGGGACAAGGGTGTTCCTCAGAGAAACGAAAGCGTGGCCTGCCTGTTCCTGAGCTCAATCTCAGTGAAAATCTTGATTCATCTTTTGATTCTGCTACTTTCCAATAAATGTTCTCAAGCAAGGAAACCCCAGTTTCCTCTCCTGTGTTATGCGAACATAACTGCACCTGCCCTAGATGTGGCTCCGGTACTGGGCTCTCAAATGGGAGAGCGGAGGGAACAGAGGAGATTACTGGAAAGTGCAGCGCTCATGCTAATTGTTCATATCACTCCTTGACCCAGGCAGCTCTTTTCTGGGCTTGTGTCTTCTGCCTTCTTCCCATTCTGCACCCCTGCTCTTTCCCTATTCTCGGGAAATAATCTAATAATGAATTTTAAATAGGCTCATTATTTATTTATACCCCTTCCTCTGCCAGCAGAGCTTTCAGTCGATGATAATAACAGGCACAGGCAGGGGCACAGGCAGGGGCCTGTTGATCCTGGAATCACACCAAATTAGGGCTGGAGAGGGGCTAGGAGGTCACGCAGACATCCCACTCACCTTATGTAGGGGAAACTGAGGCCCAGAGGGAGGCTATCAGGAGCCTGTCTGTGCTAGGGGCTGTAGATAGAGCCACCAAGTGACTCAGTCATTACCCTACCCCCCTTGGGGGAGGGGTGTCCGTTCTCCCCCGGGAGACAGGGTCAAACATGAGATGACATAGGGTTTCAATGCACCAGTAACTGTCACTGGGGAGTGACTGCTGGAGTCCATGCCCTCTGCAATGCCCGGCAGAGCTGGCAGCCAGCCACTGGCCCAGGCATCCGCCCCGTCAAGCACCGGCCGCTGGCCGAGGTCAGGAGGGTCTTCTGGGACATCTGTGCTTGGAGATAGAAAACACTAGAGCTTGTGCATACTGGTGGATGGAAATGTGGGTGGTTAGGAGAGACTAGTTTAATGCAACCAAAGTGCGTCTGGTCAGCAACCATAGATGCAAAGAGACCCAGGCCTGGGGACTGGTGGCGGGCAGCGGATTCTGAGCAGGGAGAAGGGGGTGATCGGTTGCAAGTCTGTGTAGCTGCTTGAGGCTCCGAGGTTCCTGGGCCTGGAACGCTAGCTCTTGGTGGCCGACGGCAACAGGAAAAGATGGGTCTGGACTTGGGGCAGAAGCAGGGGACGCTAAGAACAGGAAGCAGCGGAAAGAGGCTGGAGTCGGCCATGTCCTGGCTTGGTGTTGGTCTAGCTATGTAGCCTCAAGTGAAACTCAGTTTCCCCACCTGCAAACCATGGTGCTCACCTCTCGGGGTTGTTTTGGGGGACCAGTGAGATATTCCTGCGTGCCTGGGGTGTTATATATATGAAGGAAAGACAGAATTCTAGGAGCCGAGGTGCCCAAGGGCCATGCCTGGATCAGGGATCAGGAGTGGAGGGGTTTCTATGCCATGAAATTGATGACTTGTGTCCCTAAGCGCGCAGGGCTGACCCTTCCAAAAACTGGGAGAAGTCTGATGTCCACAATGTCCCATGGGCTGAAGGAGATTCCTTGCAGCTTGGGGTGTCTTGCTGTGGTTCCTGTCCCACCTCCACCCCTCCATGCCTGCCCACCTCGGCCCAGCAGGCAAGCTGGCGTTTTGAAAAGATGTTTGTCCCTCCTGACAAACAGATCAACAAGGAAACAATTAGGGAAAATGAAAATGGCCCCCAAAGTTGTCACTTCTAAAAGTACAGGTTTTGATGTGACGCTGTGGCCTATGTAAGCAGTGTATTGATTTTTTTAAACAAAAGACAGCCGAGAAGAAAGGTGTGTTGTTTGGGACACTGCTAAGGGCTCGATGCACAGAGTCGTGAGCAGAGGGACCCGTGATCACAGCCCTGTCCCTGCCAGAGGGGCCCGGCCGCCTGGGTCACCTAGTTCCTTTGCCCTTACTGCTGATTTTCTATATCAACGTGTGGGTCTCTGCCTGTTTCCTGCCTGTATATACATTTCCGTGCCCCTACTATATGCCAGGCATTTATCAAAGTGGCCCACCCTCAAGGAAACGGCGAGCTCAGCCTGTATGTGACCAAACTGCCAGCTTACCCACAGTCCTGTCATTCTCAAACCTTTATAAAACAGCACTGGGTCCAGAAATTTCTTTGTTTTGTTTTGTAAATAAGTCTGCAGGTCTTACCACCAAATTTGGCTCTACCAAAGGATGGCTTTGTGGTCCAAGACTTGGAAGGTACTGTTAGCACACAAAGGGTAAAATCTGGGACGGCTTCATGGAGGAGGTGATCTCTGTTTGAATCCTGACAGTTGAATATATTTCTCCCGGTGGACAGAGGCTCCCCTGGGAGCTCCAGGATGAAGGAATATCAGGGGCAAAGGATCAACCAGGGCCAGATCACCACTCCCATTAATTCCCCTCTCTGAATAGTCATGAATATGAAACAATTTCATAAATGTGTTATCATAATGCCTATAATGCATTATAATGCTTATAATACATTCTAAGCACTCAATAAATCGGAACTATTATTTTTTATTCACTTATCCATTTACTCTGCTTTTAGGCATTCATTTACCCACTCACTCATTTATTCGTTCATTTGATGAATTTCGTAGTGATCTATCACACATCATGAGTGCTCTGGGCTTACCTGAGTCCAGACCCCTTCTGTGACAGGCGCCTTTGAAATTCCACATAGGTCCACATAGGTCTGGGGGTTCAAACATACTCCCATTGACCTGTGAGCACAAATACCTACATTGACAGTGGTGCCTCAAACAAGTGACAGCAGACACCCGTTTCCTTCAATGCTCCTTCTCCCAAATGGCCAAATGGTGCCACATGTCTTGAGACATTGACCTTTATTAGCTCCAGCTGGATGCCCTGTCTGAGCCCAGAGCCCATGGACGGCTGAGGCAGACGCAGACCTGCCCTTGGCCTGAGCCCAAAGGTTGAGAAGCCATGGAAACAAGAGCAGGCAAGAAGAGTTGCTTCTTCCAGGAACTGGCAATGAAGAGTCTGAGTCATGCATGTTTATTGATTCAATTCTTTATTGATAGATCTCCCTGCCTCTTGGGGGAAACGGGGGGCCGTTCTTGGATTGCTGGCTAAGTGTCAAAGCAGTAGCTCTGACGGAGAGCAGTGGAGGGAGAGCATTTGTGGGGCAGAGGGTCAGGGTGGGCTTCCTGGAGGAGGAGTCCACCCAGCAGAGAGAAAGACTGGAGTAAGGACGCAGAGACCGGCCACGGCAGCGATGGGGCAGGGACTCTGAGGGAGGTGGGCGAGCGGGGCTGGGGCAGAGCTGCCCGTCCTAGTTGGGGAAGAGCAGGAAGCCGGAGAAGACGCTGTCGGAGCCAACGGTGCCCACCATGCCGTTGTAGTCGTTGACCGTCAGCCACACCTCCTCGCCCGTCTGCAGCTGCAGCAGCACACCGCCCGAGCTGACCTGCTTGCTATTGGTCAGGTGGTCACAGAAGGTGGTTATCTTGATGCCCTTGTGGTACAGCTGCACGCACAGGTTGGCCTTCAGTGACACGTAGTAGACAAAGTAGTAGAGGCCGGGCACTTTGCAGGTGAACTTGCCCGTGCCCGTGTCATAGTCCCCCTGGGGGTTGGTGATGACCGAGTTGAACTTGACCAGGGCATTGGGTTCCGGGAAATGCACTGTCTGCCGTGTGACGGAGAACACTGACTGGTACTTCTGCTTGTACCTGCCCTCCAGGCCCGGTGGCCCGGGGGGTCCTATGGGGCCAGGGAATCCAGGAAGCCCAGCAGCTCCCCTGGGGCCATTTTTGCCAGGATGGCCAGGTGTGCCAGCTTCTCCCTTCTGACCCTTGGGTCCTTGTGTCCCAGGGATAGCTGGGATTCCTGGGGAGAGAGTGGGAGGGAAATGATGGGCAAGGGATGGGGAAGAAGGAGGCTGGGGGTATCCTCCAGGGAGTGCACCCCTGGGTCTTGGCTCTGGAGCCTCCATCCCCAGATGCACCTGCCAGCGGGAAGCAGTAGGCAAGGAGTGGAAGGAGAGGGAGGTTAAAAGTTGGCCAGAGGGGAGGGAGGTCTAGGTTCAGGTCTGCCTCCCTGCCCTCGGAGGCACCCAGGTGCTCCCGTCTCCCGGCCTCAGGGTCCACATTAGTGATCTGGAGGCTTGGACTAGCCCGCTTAGGAGGTGTCGAGCTGGCCAGGGCCTTGGAGATCATGCCGGGGGGCCCAGGCTGCAGGCTCAGACAGCTTCTGTTTGGCCGGCACTGTTTTTTTTACTTTTTAACCTCGAGCCCATTAATTCATGTAGACTTCACTTAAAAGTCTAGGTGATAGGGGCCCTCCCTGGAGCCGCAAGGGGTTGAAGCACAGCACTACAAAGCTATCTATGGCCACTGTAGCACGAGTTTGATCCCTGGCCACATGGCGCGGCAGACCTCTCCCGTCTCGCCCGCTGCTCGCCTCAGCAGTGTACTTCATCAGTCTGCTTGTTCTGCTTCCCGCTCTGTCTCTGGTGAGTCCTCTCACACCATCCCCCCCCATACACACACACCTCGCCTGTACCCCAGTTCTGAATGCATAAATAAATCAATCTTTAAAAGTCTAGGTGATAATTTTTCTTGATATAAATCAGAAGACTGGCCGGAGGGACATTCCTGAAATCTCATGAAACTTAAGCTTCAGGCCCCACTAACTTTCACTGACCCCTCAAGGCCCTTTGCCTAATTCTGTATTTATAACTTTTGTCAACTTTTTATGTGGAAATAATTCTAGGCCAGTGGGAAATTGCAATAAAAAGAAAAGGAAAGGAAACGCCACATACCTTCCCCAGCGGCCCACCCTGTGTCACCAGAGCATCAAACCAGAACCGGCCTCACCCCACAAGCTCCACCCGTACACACTCATCTGTGTGCGTGTGTGCTGTCCAGTCTTGCCACCCCCACGTCAAATCTAGCCGAAATGCTGTATTACTTGTCCACAGAGGGGCCTCGGCTTTGCATAAGCCTAAGCCCACTCCCACCTGTGTCCCCTTGGAGCTGAATCACCCCAGGCCAGCTCAGCGGGCGGGAAGCACTGGCCCGAGTCCAGGACAAGCCCTCACGAAGGGGCCTGCTCTCTGCACTGCGCCCAGTCCCACTCGGCCCCCTTGAGCCCTTCATGACCGCTGGTCTCATTGTACAGGTGAGGAAACTGACCCTGAGACCCCTGTGGCCACAGGGCCAGGAGCAGGTGGACCAAAGTCAAGGCTGCCTGAATCCGAGTGCCGGTCCTGGTTATCTGGTCTCTGCAAGATTCTTCTCTCCTTGTCCAAACTGTGCTCATCTTGTAGGACCTGGCCCCAGTGTCCTCTCCCAGGGAGCCCTCTGTGACCACCCCTGTGGGCTCGTCTGACTCAGCACTGGGGGTCTGTGCAGGCCTCCTGGGCCAGATCCCCTGGCTCTGTGTGCCTTTTAGGAGTGAGGGGTCAGGACCCCAAAGAGATGGGCTTCAGGTCAGGTGATCGCTCCTCCCGGGGCCTGGGTGCCGGACTGAGACGAAGGAGTAGCACCTCTGGCCCCAGAGGGCTGCTGGAGAACGGGGTGGGGTTGCGTGTGGCGCAGCGCCTGGGGAGTGCCCAGCCGTGGCAGGCCCCTGTGGAGGCCACCAGGTGACTCCGAGCAGGCCAGTCACACCCTCCAGGGTGTCTGCGCACAGCCGACTGGGAGGGCAGGACGCAGCAGTGGGGGGGGCCGGGGGTCCCTGGGGACCCTGGAGGACATTAAGGGCATGTTCTGACGTTGGACAGGAGTCCACTGTGTGGCTTCAGGTTCATTGCTCAGTCTCTCTGAACCCCAGTTTGACTATCACAAAAGGGGTGTAAATCACTTCTTTAAAGGATTGTGGCCTCGGCGTCCTCATTTATAGACCAGAGTTAACCATTTTATCTGCCCTCCGAGGCAAATATGTGCAGGGCATTTGGAATCGTGTCTGGAGCCTAGTAGGAGCTCGGTCATTGCTGGCCATCAGACACCTGGCCAGTGGGGTGGCAGGGTCCCCGAACACGGCAGACCTGGGGCTCCTTCTGGAATGTGGGCAAAACGCACTCTTGCTGGGATGGAGGATGACCGGACATTCCTAAGAAGGGGTCCCCTCCGCTGCTCCCCTCCCCCACCCCAGCCTCTCTCTCCCTCCCCCATCACCTCTGCCCAGGGCCACGCATCTCACGCAGGCCCATTCCCAACAGACACACGCAGCCTCTGTGTTGTACCCCAACTCACAGACAAGGCTCCCCAGACTCTAGTGCTCCCACAGCAGCCCATTCTGTCCTCAATCCCCTGGGCTCACGTCACGGGTTACCTGTGAGTCTCCGACAGAAGATTCCACGGCTGTGGTCTTCTCTCCCCCACCCTCCAACTACCCAGGGTCCTTGGGAGGCAGGTGAGATGGATCTTTATCAGCAAAGCCCACACTGCCTTGTGCTGGGGCAGGTGTCTGTTCAGAGGTGTTTAATCATCACAGCTGCCTCTGAGCACTGGCCCTCCCAGCTCCCATTTTGCAGATGGGGAAACCGAGGCACTGTGAGGTTAAGGAATTGGCGTGCGTTCAGCAGTGGGGAGTGGCGGGGCTGGGATTGGAAGCCTGGTCCTCCTTGAGTCATACATGTTCCTGCGGTGGGACCCTCCTTCCCCAGGAGTCATGTCACAGGACAAGGAGTGGGGGAGGGGGGAGAAAATCAGCGCTACATTCTCAAGTTTGCCAAAGGTTTTCACCTGGATCTTCTCCGCGCCCTCCTGCCACCTGCCAGGAAAGGCGTGCTGATTCTCACCCTGCTGGCAGGTGCGGGAACTGGGAGCAGAGAGGCGAGCCGGCCAGTGCTGAGCCTGTGCCCTGGGAACGGCCCTGCTGTCCTTACGGCTCCCAGCTCCGGGCCAGCCCCGGTGGGCACTCCCGCCCCTGTGCCCCAGGACCCGGCTTGGCCAGCAGACTCACCTGGCTCACCCTTGGACCCCTGCAGTCCATCGTGCCCGTCCTTCCCTGGGGTCCCGGGCAACCCGGGCAATCCGGGAATCCCGTAGCAGCTGGTGCTGGCCTGGCTGCCCAGGGGCAGTGCCAGCAGGAGCAGCACGAGGTTCAGCCCCAGGAGGAGCCAGGAGCGGGAGCCCAGGCCCATCCTGGGGAAGGAGCTGGATGGGAGAGAGCGGAGTTGGCTGCCCGCCCCAGGCGCTGCCCGGCCCAGGCGCTGCCCGGCCCCAGGCGCTGCCCGGCCCCAGGCGCTGCCCGGCCCCATGCACTGCCCGGCCCCATGCACTGCCCGGCCCCAGGTGCTGCTGGCCCCACCCGCTGCCCGGCCCACACGCTGCCTGCCCTTTTGCTGCTCACTCTGTCCTGGGCTCTCAGAAGCCCATCCTGACCCCAGGCCCCTTGCCCCTTAGGGCCACATGATGCAAAGAGAGTGGGGACTTCTAGTCCAGGCGCGTGAGAAGGCTCAGGGTGGGGAGGGGGGCGGCCACATGCCCTCCTCGGGCAGGGGTCCCAGACTCACCAGGGCTGGAGGTTTCCGGTCCGGTCAGAGAGGTGCCCTCGGCCTGCTTCCCTTCGCCCAGCAGGAGGACACGGTGACAGTGGACACGGCGAGGAAGGGCCAGAGCAGGCTGGGCCGCCCTCTGCGCCTCTCACCCTCCCCCCAGCCCCACACTCCCCTTCCCATTTTATTTTCCCTGACTTAACACTTTCTCTTGAGTGCTGAGCCAGGCTGACCACAGCGATAACCTCTGTGTCCCCCACTCCCGGGTCATGCGTGTCCCAAACGAGGAAACGCCCTCTGTCCGGATCTGGTGAAGGGCCTGTGTGTGCGTGTGTCAGGAGTCTCCTGGCTGACTTCCCTTACCGCCAAGTCCAGCCCTAAAGCCCATCCCCCCCCAACTCAAACTGAGTTGTTCCATGACATCTTCGGGGGGGTCAGGATCCCCCTTTACAGATGAGGAATCCGAGGCTCAGGGAGGGAAAGTCACTGCCCAAGGTCACACAGTGAGTGGTTTCTTGGGATCCACAGCCTTGTTCTGACCCATCTGCTTGATTTTCCTAAGAAGCAGCCTTGGGTGCACTTGTCACGTGGCAGGGCTTGTTCTAGAAACTTCCAGCCCCCCCCACACTTACTGCACTTAGGTGGACACCTGAGGTGGATAAGCATTGATGGCCGGCAGCTGCTCCGGGGGACAGATGTCTCTGGCCACAGCCAGCAGCCTCGGCCTCCTTCCAGCCCCCCACTCCCTTTCCCAGAGGCCTCCAGCCAACCCCAGCCCCCTCCAGCCCACCTTTCCATCTGTATTCTGGGGGTGGGGATGGCAGAGGCCCTTGGCTTTCCTTGCTGGGCCCCTGGGTCCCCGATCGTCCATCTTCCCTGCCAGCACTGCCGTCCTCAGCTCCGCCCCCGACCGCTGCCTCACCCCTGCCCCTGTCCTCTGTAAATGGGGGTCCTGACAGCCCCGTCAGGACAGTGATGAACACTCCATGGAGGACGCCCCCGCTGCTCAGTCCTGCTGGTATGAGCAGTCCAGATCCTTGCCGCAGATTCTCTGGGTGACCCCGCAGGGCCTCAGTCTCCCCATCTGCAACTCCACCACGAGGTGCAGGGATGCAGAATGCGAGCGAGAGCATGATGTACGTGCACTTGGTCCTGGGAGTCCCCAGCAGGTCGAGGGCTTGGGAGAGCATAAATGACCCGCACAGTGGGGACGTGGAGCCCTGCCACCCGGCTCCCAGTTTCCACCTGGCCGCCTTTGCGCCTGCACCTGGATCGTCCAGCAGGTGGCACCATCGGCCCGTGCTCCGCCGCCCCGCCTGCCCGCCGGCCAGCTGGGCTCTGGCAGCAGGGCTGGTGAGGGGCCTCCCGCCGGGTGGGTATGGGTGGGATTTGGGGACAGGAACGGCCAAGTCCTCCTCACACCCACTGTCTCTGGCCACTTCCAGGCCCCCACCTGACATTCCCCTTGTCCCTCTGCAGTTTGGAGTCAGGCAGCGCTGCTTCAAATTGAAGCCCTGCCAGTTTCTGGTGGTGTGACCTTGCGTGGATGTCCCCTCTCTCCAAATCCTCACCTGTTTGGCTCGGATTAAGTTGGTCCCTGACGAGGAAATAAACAGCATAGAGGAGGCGCTCCCAGGTGTCTCTTCACCCAGCCGGTGGGTGTGTCCTGGGGGCAGGGGCAGCCTTGGCACAAGTGGGACCCAGGGGGTCGGGCTCTGTCTTCTCCCGGTCACCAGAGGCGGCAGGACAGGGCAGCCGAGGGGCCTGGAGTGAAACCGGAGGCGGGGGTGGGGACGGCGTGGCGAGGACTCGGCTGTCAGGGAGAGGCCGGGAGCCGCGGCGCCCGTGTCCCAAGGGCCCTGGGGTGTGAGCACACGGAGGCCAATGTGTGAGACGCGTGCCAGTGTGTGTCTGGCACACGCTCTCGAGGTATGCACGACAGCGCTCTGATGGCTTGCGGGGTGCATGCAGGCAGCGCTGACAACATACAACCCCCCAGTGTGTATGCGCATTTGAGGGGTGACTTAATGTGTGTGTCAAGGGTGCGCCTGGGAGCGTCTGAAGGGGCGGGCGTTCAGGTGCACCTCAAGGGAGGACGGCACACGTGTAGGGGTGTGCTCATGCGTGTGTGCGAGTTGTGGCTGCTGGGTGCACATGTGATCGTAGCAGGAGAATGAAACTGGCTTCCTTTGGGGGAATGTTCCTGGATGCTTCCAACACTGGACAACGCCTAGGGTCTGGTGTGCTCACAGACGGAGGCCGGAGTGGGGCTTCTGCTGCCGAGTGGCTCCGTGCAGGCTAAGTGGGACCTGGGTGGGCACCACAGCCATCGAGGCCCTTCCAGCCCGCAGGGAGAGTTCAAGCCTTCCAGTCAGCCAGGAAATGTGGCTTCGCGGCGGTGGGGGGGGATTCTGGATTCCCTTTGGCCGATCGCTCCCCCTCTCAGAACCCCGCTCCGGCCTTATAGCTTTGGGGCTGGGAAGCAGGTGGCCATTTGTCAGGTGCATACCTGGGGGGGGGGAGGGCGTAGTCAGACACGCAAGCTTGGCCATCAGTGCGACATGGGTCCAGATCCCAGATCCTCCCCTTAAACGCTGGCCGAGGGCTTTTCATCTGTCCATCACCCGGCCTCCACTTCGCCATTGATCGAGATTAAATGAAAAATAAAAGCAGCTAAAACTTACAAAGTGCACAGCCCTACTGCGAAGCAGGCGCTGCCTGGCAGCTTTCATGTATCACGTCACCCCCCCCAGCACCTTTCGGGAGGTGCCAGTGTCAGTCTCGCTTTACAGGTAAGGAGACGAAGGTTCACGGAAGCTATGTCACCTGCACTCGTGCGTGTGCGTGAGTGGGTACGGCTGGCCAGTGGGGACCCCGGATTAGAACCCAGGCCGATGAGACTCCTGGGACCTCTGAGCACAGGTCGCGAATGCCTGAGTGCGGGCCTGCTCCTGCGGCCCGGCAGTCACGCCCACACCCCCTGCCAACAGAATCTCAAGCTCAGAAGGCATGGACTTTAGTATTTATTCCAGGACGTGTTCTCAGAAATAATCTCCCTTCGGGCAGCAAAAGCGACAGCCTCCCACTTCATGGAGCAGAGTAGCCGCCAGAGAGCAGGAGTGAGCGGACTGGGGTCACGGGGGTCCCACAGCGGGCAGCAGAAGGGGCCCCTTCCTTGGGTCAGGCAGACGGGAAGATGAGGAAGCCGCTGAAGACGCTGTCTGCCTCGGGCCCGTTGTAGATGCGGCCCTTGGGGTCCCTCTCGACCCAGACCTGGTCCCCATGCTGCAGCTGGAGCACCGTACCCCCCGACACGATCTGGAAGATGCCCTTGCTGTTGGTGTCACAGAAGCCCAAGAAGCGCCGGAGCTGGTGGCCCTGCGTGAGCCGCATGATGGACAGGCAGATGTCCCACTTGGACACCACCTGGAAGGTGAAGTAGTAGTAGCCGGGCACGGCGCAGACGAAGCGGCCCGTGTGGTTCTGATACGGGCTCTCCTGGTTGGTGATGACCGTGTCGAAGATGACCACGTTGCCCCCTAAGGGCGGGTTCCGCCGCACGGCCGAGAAGGCCGGCCGGGGCTGGTCCTTGATGTTCCCCGGGCTGCCCTTCATGCCTTTCCTTCCTGGGGCGCCAGGGTTCCCTAAGAGGCCGTTGGGCCCTGGGTAGCCCATCATGCCAGGGACTCCGGGGAGTCCAGGGTCCCCCCGGTCGCCCTTAGGGCCTCGGATGCCCGTCCTCACGCCAGGAGCCCCTGTCAGGAGAAAGGCACATCAGTAATGGGAGCCCAGTGTCTACCGGCCTCAGGAGGACGGCGGGGCCCAGGGCAGCGGGAGGGCAGAAGGCAGCGCCTGGGCCTTCCAGACACGGGCAGAGACCCCGTGTGAGCTTCGGCAATCATCTCAACCTGCCTGAGTTTCAGCTGCTTTGCTTGTGAAAGTGGAGAGGAACGTCAAGGGTCCTGGGAAGGGATCAGGTTCCGGGAAAAGCAGAACCTGGCTCCTCCGGCTGCTCCCGCCCTGCCCTGCACCTGCACCCCTGACGACCAGCCCCACTGGCCTCAGGTTCAGGGGCCACGTGGAGGGTGCCTGGGTGTAAGTTGTTGCAAATGTCGGTGCAGAAGTTCTGGATTGCCATGGGCTGGGAGGCCCAGTGGGGTTACAGGCGAGCTCCCTTTTCCTTCACCCCTAGCCTTTGGTCCAGAAAGTGGAGCTTCTGAAGGCTGAAGGGACGAGGAACCTGGACACAGGGGCAGCACTGGGGGAATGGGAGGGAGCAAAGGGGTGGCTGGTGGTCGTGCCCTGTCGGAGCCAGGCAGGACATCGCTGCCATTTTATAGGTGAGGCAAGGGAGGCTCAAGGAGGCAACGTGCTGAGCTTGTACAGTGAGACAAGCGCTCCTAAGCCTTGTGTCTGGGCCTTAATCATCCTGGTAATTGAGTGACCAATGGCTGGGTCAGCATTCATTGCCTGTAGCAGCCTGTTCTCTGGAGACTCAGGCCATGAGGAAGAGGCTCAGGGGCCGGCAGACTTGGCCAGAGAGAAAGCCAAGGCCCCTCATTTCTGGGACCAGCGGCCCTCCAGGGGCGTCCTGTGGAGGCCCAAGTGTTCTCAGGGCCCCTCCCCCCAGCTTCCATCCTGGATCCCAGAGCAGGGGGAGGGGTGCAGGGCTGGGGGTGCAGAAGGAATGCTTACCGGGTTCCCCTCGCTCCCCCTTGAGGCCTGGCCTCCCAGGCCGGCCTGGTATTCCTGCGGCCCCATTCGTCCCGTCTGGTGCTCGGCACACGTCCTGGGTCACTGCAGAGGCCAGGTACAGGGCCAGCACGCCGGCCACCAGCCAGCCCCTGGAGGCCCCCATGATGCCACTGTGGAGACACGGGCAGGGCCCCGGCAGGCTGGACAGCAGTCCCAGACACACCTCGCTTTCACAATGACTCCCTCCGCCCACATACACACAGTGCTGACACCCACACGAAGCCTGGGACCCTTTGGCATCCCCTGCACTCAGCCCCTGGGCCCCCTACATACACACAGAACCACGAACTCACTCGATGCATACACGCAACTGAGCACATCCCCAGCTACACACTCTTACCCGCACCCCTACATCACAGGGTAAGCAGTAAAAATCTCCCCCACGTCCAGGACACACAAACTGACCCCCAAATGGACACCATCCCTCACTCTCCTGGACACACACATTCATACACTTCTACCGACGATCAATTCCACTGGACAAATATTTACTGAGCACCTGCTCTTATTTAACTGACGCCCCTCGCCCGGCTGGCAGGGCTGTGCATGCCACGGGGATTCGGAGACCGGACACGACACACCTGCTCTCTCCTGCACACCCGGCCCTTTCCTCACCAGCTTCTTGTGCTTTGGGGGGTGAGGCCCAGGGACTCTGACTAGAGCTGCTGAATCTGAGCCTCCCGCTCTCCCCCAAGCTCTGAGCCAAAGAGTCAAGATTTCCCCCCACTCAGCCCCTCTGGATCAAGGGCTCCCCCCTGTGCCGTCCTGGCACAGAATCCACTAGCTGTGCTCTGCCTCCCTCCCTGCCTCAGTGGTCAAGTCTCCTAGCCCAGCTCCCTGGTCCCCTGAGCTTCACGGACCCCAGGCGCTGGCCTCACCTGCCTCGGGTGGTCAACTCGACTGGACGCTCCTGACCTCCACCCGGGGCCCCTGTGGGACACTCAGCAGGGCAGGGCTGAGCTGCGGCCAAGTTTCACATCCCTTCCCACTTCCCGTCTCCTGGCGTGGGCCTGCCCCTGGCCTTTCCCCAGAAGCCAGAGCCCAGCAAGCTGACCTCAGCAAAACGGGACACTGACGTCCCTCTTCAGCCACAGCTGCGTGGGGGCAGGACAGCGAGGTGGGGGTCTGCATGGTTGGGGGCGGGGGCAGTGAGAACCAGACAGCCATCAGCGTGGAAAGAGGCTCCTTTGAGTTTGCTAAGTCCTAAGACTCTTTCTTGATAGTGAAAACAACGCGTAGTCATTGTCAAAAGCTTGGAAAAGTTGAGCAAAGCAAAGCACACGGAGCAGTGGCATGTGGTGAGAAGCCCAGCAACCTGCCCTGGCCTGCCGTGGCCTGGCCTGTCCTCGGGGAACCCTGGGGAGCCCGGGTAGCGGCCCTCTTGGGCCTCAGCTTTCTTATGTGTAAACCGGGAACCAAAGATTTACTTCGCCGGGCTACCCTGAAGTCTCCATGACACAATACACACACAAAACACAGAGACGTGGCTTAAAAAGGAGGATTCTACCATCTAGAGAAGTGCTGTTAGGAGCGGAAGGTCACCCAGCCTTGCTTTCTCTCACAGACCAGGAGCTCGGTACTGATAGCACAGCTCACTTCGGTCTTGAGAACTTGGCCTTAGGTTGAGGAACCCTGTCTCGCCCAGATCTGGAGACCCCGGTGTTCAGGCCTGTACTGACTCATCTTTCTGCTTCTTCCTGTGGCCGTGTTTGTTTGTTTTTTTCCTTGAGGGAGGAGGAGGTGGAGGAAGAAAGAGAAGGCTGCTGTACACGCACGGGTGAAGTTGCCTAAGGCCAGGCTTTCAGACCTTCGGGCTCCTTTTTCCTTTGCAATCTTGGCACCCAGTGTAGACCCAGCAGATACCAGGCCTGGGGCCCATGCTCTGTCCGCCAGCCCCTCCTGGCACCCAGACTTCAGGAGCTGGAAGTCTGGAGCTGGAATCTCACCAACTCAGCCCACATCTGACTCACAGTGGGCTTGGCAAGATTCACCATTCCCTGGATCTTAGTTTCTTTATCTGAGATGGGGCTACCAAGGAAGTCTACAAACTTATCAGGAAGTTTATACGGTCAAACCATATTAAGATAAGTCATCATGACTGGATTAAAAAGATGTGGTACATATATACAACGGAATATTACACAGCAATCAAAAAAGATAGACTCATGCCTTTTGCAGCAACATGGATGAAGCTGGAAGGGATCATGCTTAGTGAAATAAGCCAGAAAGAAGAAGAAAAATACGATCGTTTCACTCAAAGCAGGAGCATAAAGGACCGGGGTGGGGGGTGGGGACTATGGTGATGGGAAGCCCACGGGGATTACAACTGAGATGGAAAAGGCACAAAATGATGTAAAAATATCCTATTATATTATTTTAAAAAATTTAAAACCCTAAAAAAAAATAAGTCATTGTTATGAACAATATCTCTGTGACCTTGGATAAGGAACCTAACCTCTCTGAGCCTTACTTTCTTCATCTATCAAGATGAGGGTCATTTTGGAGGCAGGAAGTTTGCCCTAAATCTCCTGGAGCACCCCTCTGTGCCCTACCTTCCTTGATGGCAACTGGCTCCCCTGCAGGTGTCAGGAAGCTCACATCACAGCCACACCTAGCAGCCTGTCATTCCCATTCTACCGGGGAAGACACTGACGGCCAGGAAAGACTTGCCCGAGGCCACACAAAACAGCAGAGCTGGCATGAGGAAATATCAGCTCTTACACATAATTCTTACAGAAATATGTAAGTGGGTATCAATTTATTTTGACAGTTTATTATTTAAGGCACCATCAGGATGATAAATCTAGCTTAATGATGAATGTGAGAAACATTCAACAGTCATAATTATTAAGTAATAATAATAATGTTAATAACCAAAAAGATAAGAATCCCAGACCAGTCATAGATGGCCAAGTTAGATATAAAACAGGCTCGGTTCTACAGGGCAAAAAAATTACAACATTGGGGCGATCTTCTCTATGGGAAAGAAATCATTTGCATCTCAACCAGACAAAAATAACTGGCAACTTATCAGTTTTCTACCAGCTACCAGCTATCTTTACAGAGCCTGGGACCTAATCAATAGTAAATAATAAGTCCAGCAAAGTGACATTTCCCTAGAGTGGGCCCCTAAGGAGGGCCGTGAGACACTGTTGTAATTTGACTTTGAAAGGACAGTTATCTGTTTGCCTTATTTCCAAGTGTTGGATGATTTTACTTATCAGGCTGTTGCAAGAGTACAAACACTTCCCAGGAAATAAAAGGCATCAATAGTAATGAACATAGCATTAGTGTGGAAAAGCAGATGAGTCCGAAGGTGATACCACCCGTGACTGTCACAGAGACATCTTCTTCCCCTCGGGTGGATTATAATTTCTTCCATTTCTCCAGGCTCCTGGAGGGCAGGCAGATGTAGGGATGAGAGGAAACCCCATAAGGCTCATCACACCAAGACCCACCAGCCCCCCATCTCAGCAGGTGGTCAGGGATTTAGAGAACGAGCAAAAAATTAATGACTATAATACAAAACTCCAAACCAGTCAAATTCTTCATGGCTGAGTCACATCTCACTCAAGGGCAGGGGTCCAAAATCAGCATATTAGGCAAAAATTGTAAATGGTCAATATTATCATTGGGGAAAAAAATCTTAGGGCAGGCTATTTTGGAGAATGTGTTGCCATGTTGCAATAGTTCTTTGCTGTCAGTTTTGGCTTTAACAGAGAGCAGATTTTTCTTTCTTCGAGTGCTTGTAGCCTAATGCATATCCTCTTTCTCCCCAGACTTTAAAGACTGGAGTCATACTCAGGTGAGGGGTTTAGACTGGGAGGAGTTCTGGGGAGCCTGGGTCCTTAGGTGTCCCCATCCATGCTCATTCCAGAAACAGGTTCCGGGAGGCTCCTCAGGTTGGGCAGCACCCTGATCTTATTTCAGAGGGTGTTTTTAGCTCTTTCCTTCTCTGAAGCTTCTTAGGCAAAATGCAGATTGTCAAATGTGCATAGAACACGACTCTGAAATTCTTGCATTTCTTTTCTATTCGTTTATAAAAATCGAGGTGCAATGTACAGTCGTAGAAGGCACCTCCATGTAGCTCAAAGTACAGAGCATCTCTGTCACCATGCAGGTTGTCTCTGCCCCTTTCTAGTCCACAGTACCCCCTTGCCAGAGTGGCCAGTTTCCAGCTTTAGCTGCGTGGGTCCTTCTGCCCGTTCTTGACCTCTGTGGAAATGGAATCCACGGTGTGTGTGCCTTAGGCGTCTCTGCTCCTAAGATGCCTCCCCACTGTGGCCTGTGACACTCCGTGTTGACGCTGACTCGAACTCCACTGTAGCCCCTCGCTGGGCCCCTCCGCCACTGGTGGATGTTGGGTTATGATGAATAGAGATTCCAAGCATGTTCCTCCTCTAGCCCTCTTCGCCAGTTGCCTGGTCAGCACAGATGCCCAATCCTCTGGATGAAGCCAGGAAAGGGGCATAGACTTTACTTGTCCCTCCCCCCCACTGCTCCCACCTCCTGCTCCTCAAAAATCACACCTCCTGGGTTCCTCAAACTGCTAAACATGGAGCTTCCCTACACCCAGCAATCCCACTCCTAGGTATCTACCCAAAAGACACAAAAACACTGACTGAAAAAGATACCTGCACCCCCATGTTTATTGCTGCTTTATTTACAATTGGAAAAACATGGAAGCAGCCCAAATGCCCAAAAGTAGATGACTGGATAAAAAAGATGTGGTACATATATACAATGGAATATTACTCAGCAACCAAAAAAGAGAAACACATGTCTTTTGCAGCAACTTGGATGGAGCTGGAAAAGATCATGCTTAGTGAGATAGGCCAGAAAGAGAAAGAAAAATACCGGATGGTTTCACTCATAGCAGGAGTATAATGGACCAGGCGAGAAAATAACAAGAATAATGAACAACCATATACCAGAGACATTTTGCGGGGGTGGAGTGGGGAATGGGATCAAAAACGGGGGGTGGGGGGAGGAAGAGAGGGAAATGCATGGGACTATGGTGGTGGCACATGGGTGATTTGGTGATGGGAAACCCGCGGGGATTACAATCGAGATGGAAAAAAAAATGTACAAAATGATGTAAAAACAAACTGTTATAAAAAGAAAAAATCAAACCTCCTGGACCCTCTGGTCTCCATCCTCCCATTTTTCTCCTTCCCCCTGCTCTTTATGATGGAGATCAAGGTAATCTGGCGCCTGGCTAAGTCCCTTCCCTCCTCCTGGGTCTTCTGGCCCTCTCCTACTGTCCCATCCCTAACAGGATCAGGGTTTTGTTGGGGGGGGGGGCCTGGGAACTGGGGCAGGAGCAGTGGGAGCTTGGGCTCATCTTCAGAGCTTCTTTGTTCTTTGCATCACTTGGTCAATTAAAACGCTTTGGGGATTGTTTATGAAAAAACAGAGATTGTAAACCAGCAATTTGAGTGGAGATGGAGGCAGCATGGCCTCTGCCCGCCCTTTGCCTCATGCCCCCAAGAAAGCCTGTGTCTGGTGTGGGGGCAAGTCTGTGAGCGGGCGGGCAAGGGGCCTTCAAGGCCCCGGAGGCAACCAAGCCCCCTCTCCGTGCCTGCGCGCCTTTCTCTGGTCTCTCTGGTGGGCTCGCCTCCGCCAGGCCCCTCCCAGCGTCACCCCCTCGAGTGACATGTCCTTTTAGCTTGGCCTCTGGCACAGGTGTGAGCACTTACATGTGTGCACCTGTGCTCTCAAGCCCAGGTGTCCACGATTAAAGGTGTGTGTGCCCCGTGCCCAGGCCCCTCGGCCCTGGCATCCGCACTCGCAGTGGGGGGCTGGAAAGCCCCTGTATCTCCCCTACACGGGAGATGATGCTGACCCCCACACGGTGGGGTGTGGCACAGCCCCGGGCCTGCACGTGGTGGCATTGAGCAAAAGTCCTGTCTCCTCCTCTCCCCATTTGCCACTCAGGTAAGCACCGAGAT